AAAAACATTTCAGAAACCTACAGTTAGGAGACCTTGGATATTTTAAAGAAACTTTGGAATTTTAGAGCGACTTGGGAACTTTACAGAGACCTTGCATGTTTAAGAGAGTCTGGGTATTTTAGAGACTTAGGTCATGCTCTTAAGGTGGCAGAGACAGAAGAATTCCCAGAAGCTCAGGCCAGCTGGCCAGGTGGCACAGTGCTAAACAGCAAGACACCCTGTCTCCAACAATGTGGAAGGTGAAAACCAAAAACTAACCACACACGTGTGTGTGCACACACAAACAAATACACACCATGCACACATATACACATCAAGGATAAAAACTAAGTAAGATGCTGTAGTATGGACATACACCACTTAATGGCAATGTGTTCTGAGAAGTGGATCTTTGGTGACCTCATCATTGTGTGACCATCATAGGAGGAATTTATATGATCTACAATAGCAATGACACCACTGAGTAACACTCTTATGGGACCATCCTTATATGGTCTTTTGCTGACTAAAAATCTCATTATGCAGCCCATAACCATGCGCCACACATGAATGTTTGTGCGCAGCAGAATACATATTAAAATGTAGCAATAGCACCAAGCTGGCAAAACCTTCAGTGTCCATCATCAGTAGAAACCATAAGCAAATAGGTAGATGGCTTAATAGTATAAACTGCTGAAAATGAGCAAATTAAGATACTTATGTATACAATGAGTACTGGAAAATATTCAAACTATAATGGCAAGACACAAGAAGACAGACACAATGGCATGGCACTATAATTGTATTACTCAAAGTTCAAACAAGGTGAACTGATTTATAACATTAGTAATAAATAATATCAGTACTTTTCTTGACGCTGTGACCAAAGATCCGACAAGATGTGATTTGAAGCAAAGTCAGGTTTATTCCGGCTTCGTGCACTAGGGCCATTCCAGCATATCGTGGGAGGCAGAAGCAGCATGCTGGCGAGTCACATTGTGTTCACACTCAGGAAGCGGGTCTGGGTTAGAAAGCCTCAAGTCCTGCTTCCAGAGACCCATTTCCTCCAATGACACACCACCTCTTTAAAGTTCTACAACCTTAGCTGGGCGGTGGTGGTGCACGCCTTTAATCCCAGCACTCAGGAGGCAGAGGCAGGCGGATCTCTGTGAGTTCGAGACCAGCCTGGTCTACAGAGCTAGTCCCAGGACAGGCTCCAAAGCCACAGAGAAATCCTGTCTCGAAAAACCAAAAAAAAAAAAAGAAAAAGTACAACCTTTCCAGACAGTGCCACCAGCAGGTGTTTAAATACATGGACCTGCGAGGGATCCTAGACATGGAAGCACAAGAGTGGTGTGCTGCGTTTTTCAGCATGTTAGTCAGCAACAGAATACATCCATGTGATATGGGTCCCATCCGCTTATCTTACCTGGTGACAGGCACCACCTTAGACTGGGCTCCTCTTTGTGTTGTGCACACAGTGATAAACCATGAGTATTTCTCAGAACCCACTTCCTTCATTACATCATCCGACTATATTTGCATATCAACTGTGGTCATTTGAATGCCCTTAGTTCTTTTGCAGCTGGGAGCCAGAGTCTAAGTAGTCCAGGGAGGGCACAGTATAAGAACCGGGAAGGATGTGCTAGCCAAAAGGGTGTTAAATAACACTGTGGAAAGATACTGTTTTATATTTAGCCGCTTTATATTAAGCCCAGTAGTCCAGACCAAAACAGATTGGAGTGGCTTGTGCCAGGTACCACATTAACATGATTTAGTTTTGAGTTCATTTTCACGCTTTTCAAAAGCACACAAGAAATTCAAAGCAAACAATAGAAATAGAAGCCAAAGCAAGCCCAGGCGGCATGTGTCTTAGATCTCTATTGCTGTGATAATACACCATTATCAAAGGCAACTGGGGAGGAAAGTGTTCATTTTACCTTACACTTCCACATCTTAGTCCATCACTGAAGGAAGCAGGGCAGGAACTCACGGGAGGGACTTGGAGGCAGGAACGGAAGCAGAAGCCACAGAACAACACTGCTTACTGGTTTGCTCCTCATGGATTTCTCAGCCTGTTTTCTTATAGCACCCAGGACTACCAGCTCAGGGATCGTACTGCCCACAGTGAGCTGTGGTCGTCCACATCACCAGTCAAGAGAAGGTATCACAGGCTTGTCCACAGGCCAGTCTGGACAGAACATTTTCCTGCATTGAGGTTTCTTCTTCTTAAAGGGTTCTAGCTTATTGGAAGTTGACATTAAAACTAGCCAGCACACTGTGATTTTAAAAAGTCCACCCTGCCTTCCCCTACTCAGAGAAAGTGACTTCTAGGCTTAGGGCTGCAGCTGTTGACAGAGTGTTCCTGGGCCATTTCAGTCCAGTCGAGTTGACAACAAAGATTGACTATCGTATCCACTTAAACCAAACCTCCAGAAAAAACAGGAAGAAATTATTTTAATGAAAGAGCTGTTTTACAAAAGGATATGTGTTCAAAGGGAAGAGAGAGAGAGAGAGAGAGAGAGAGAGAGAGAGAGAGAGAGAGAGAGAGAGAGAGAGAGAGAATTGTCTGAAAACCGCAGAACCCCAGTCTCAGAGCTCCCCTGGCCCCAGAGAGGAGGGCACTGTGCCAGGGAGAGTCACCAGGGCCAGAGATGACTTAGGTTTCAGACACCACCTGCTATGGTTACTCCCCTGGTGAGTGCTGCGCGCTTCTTGAAGGGCGTAACTGACTGTCTTTTCCCTGCAAAGAGGAAAAAAAAATGGGACTTTCCAAGGCAATTCCAGGCCCTCTGACTTCCTACTGGGAGTCCCACTGGCCAAAGTCACCCAGGAGCCATGACAAAGCTATTACCATGCTGGCCTGGTCAGGTCAGTGTGCAGGGCAGAGAGGGGAGGTGGCTCTGCAGGGGCTCTGGTGAGAACAAGAGGCCCGAGGAACTTTGCTTATCTGTGTCCTGGGTCCCAGTGTCAAATATCTCTGCACACACCGGACCCAGCAGGCAAGAGCTGAGCTTCAAGACCTTACTAGCCCCAAACAGGAGTGTATTCCCTAGTACCTTCACAGCCTTCTTCTTCCTTTGGAGCCAGAAGAAGTGACCACTGGGCAAGAAAAAAGCAGGAGATGGGTCAGCCAAAGAGTGGGTGTGTGTCCTTAGGGGGCCTTGAAGCTGAGAGAGCCACTTACCAGATGGCAATCACAGCCAGGAGCATCAGGATGCAGATAAGAATCACAATCCACTTGTAGGTCCTGACAGCCTTAACTGGGGTGGGAGAGGAGAAACCAAGTGTTTGGAGGCTGGGGTGAGGCACTTGAGGTTATAAAAGCGAGAGTGTGTGTCTTGGGCAGGTTTGGCCTTCAACACAATGTTTTCTGTACCTGGGGCTGCCAGGGCTGGAGGAGTAGGAAGCAGCAAGGGAAAGGTGGCTGCAACTGAGAGCCATGAGGGAGGCCTGAGGAAAAGCATGGGGGCTTGAGGTGAAGTCAGTGAAAGGTTTATCTTGTAAGCGTGAGGATCCGAGTGTTCCATTTCTGGTGGCATGCACCTGTAATCCCAAAGCCTGGGAGGCAGGCATCAGGCAGACTCCTGAATCTCACTGGCCAGCTGGCCTAGTGTATTTGGTAAATTTTAGGCCAATGAGAGACTACGTCTCAAAAAAGAAGATGGGGAGTTAGGGAGACAGTTCCCAGACAAAACTCTCACCACCCAAGCCTAAAGGCTGGAGCTGGGGTGCCCCGCATCCAGGTAAAAGTCAGATGCAATTATCAGCATGTGTGTAATCTCTTCATTCCTGTGGGGGAAGATGGATGGAAAGAGGATCCCCAAAAGCTGGTGGGGGTGGGGGGTGGGCATTAGGCCTGGCTGAGCATTGGAGAGCCCGTGTTTCTAAGAAGATGGAAAGCAAGGACAGATGCTGGCGGCTGACCTCTGATTGCCGTACTCACAATGTGACACACGCATCTCTACACACACACACACATCTCTACACACACCTCTCTACACACACATATCTACACTCACACGCACACACACACACCTCTCTACACTCACGCACACATCTCTCTACACACACGCACATATCTACACACATATGCGCACACACACATCTCTCTACACACATGCACACACACATCTCTCTACACTCACGCACACACACATATCTCTACACTCACATGTACACACACATATCTCTACACACACACACACACACGGGGGGGGGCGTTCTGGTAGAAGCTGAAGTGAAATGTAACAACGTACTGAAGAGTCATTCTACCAGGTTTAGCTGAGGTGCAGGGGAGAGGTAGAAGGAGGCTCCTGGCTTAGGGCTGTGGGGTCTGAGTGACAAAAGTTGCTAAGAAGGGCACTGATGTAGGGTTGGGTTGGGACTGTTCCAGGTGTGGTGAATCTGGGGACCCAGAAGCAGTGGCTCTCAGGCTCTAGAGCCAGGCCAAGGGACATTAAAAACCTCAAAGATTCTCTTGTGTTTTACCCAACAGGAAAAGGAAATTCAGGATCATTCTAGTTAGAATAGAGAAGAATGATGGAATGGATAAGGAAAATGTGGTCATTTACACAACGGAGTACTACACAGCAGAAAAAATAATGACATCTTGAAATTTGCAGGCAAATGGATGGAGCTAAGATGAGGTAACCCAGACTCAGAAAGACAAATCTAATATGTACTCACTCATAAGTGGCTTTTAGACATATAGAAAAAAAAAAACAGCCTACTATTCACAACCCCAGAGAACCTAGACAACAAAGAGGACCCTAAGAGAGACATACATGGATCTAAATAGGAAAGAGAAAAAGACAAGCTCTCTTGAGTAAATTGGGAACTTGGGGATCATGGGAGAGGGTAGAAGGGGAGGGGGAGGAAGGGAGAGGAGTGGAGAAAATTATATAGCTCAATAAAAACAACAAGAAACCAGCCACTGAAGGGAAAACAAAAGAATGATGAAGAGAGATGGGAAATGCAGGGTGGAGGGTCTGGGGAAGGGAGGGAGAGTGGAGTGAAATCCCATGAGTGGGACCGAGGCCACTGACCTTTGCAGAAGGTGGGGTCGTTGCAGAACAGGACGTGTGTCCGGCAGTCAGCACATATTGTGACTTCCGTTGGGGTACGCATGTCTGTGAGAGTGATGGACAAGAGCCTCAGATATGGCAGGGACTCTCATCCCTCCCTCCAACTCAGCTCTGGGCATACTCACCACAGGAATCATTGCAGGCTGCCCAGGAAAGTGAGATGGTGGAGAAACTGAGGCACTAGAGAGGCAGACAGAGCTGGGAGCAGTGGGGAGTGGGAGCAGGGCATGGGACTAGGGGACTCATGGAAAGAACCGAACCTGCGGGTAGGACAGAGCTCCTGGGGAGACCTTAGGAGGGGACTGCCCTTTGGCTTCTACAGTTCATGGGCAAAGGGTGATGGGTTGGGGAGAGGATAGGGACAACCCTGCCTCTTACCCCTCTGCTTCAGCTCCATGGACCTCTCCTTTAGCCTCTCAGCCAGAAGACCCTTCTGAACACGAAGCTCTTCCAGGAGTGCTGGCTTATCTGGGTGTAGCAGAAGGGAATAAAACTCACTGATAGAAAATATGTCTTTTGTGTACATGTCTACACATGTACGGCTGCGCACATACATGAGTGTGGGACCTGGAAATCAACCCTGGGTGTTATTCCTCAGGAATCACCCACCTTAGTTTTGAAACAGGGTGTCTTACTGGCCTGGGATTCTATTCTAGCTGTCAAGTGAGCCCCAGGGATGCCCGTGACTCTGCTTCCTCAGCACTGGGGTGATAGGCACAACCCCTATACATTTTTGTTAATGTGGGTTCTGGGAATTAAACTCAGGTCTTCATGCCTAAAAGGCAAATGATTGAGCCTTCTCTCTAGCTTTATTTTTAAAATGTGCATGTGTATGTGTGTGTGGGGGGGATAGAGATAGAGATTACTAGATGGAAAAATGGATAAGATGGATAGATAGATGATGGATGAATGGATGGACAGAGGCATAGTCTGTGTGTTCCTCCGAGTGCATGTCACAGCATTCACAGGGATGCCAGAGGAAGCCTTGGATGACAGTTCTCACTTCCATCTTATTTCTTGAGGCAGGGCTTCTCACTGTTTGCTGCGGTGTATACGCAGCTAGCTGACCCAGAAGCTTCTAGGGAATCTTTTGTCTCCACCTCCTACCTCCCTTTAAGAGCACTGGATTACAGACATGTGCTACCATGCCTAGCTTTACCAGGCTGGGCTCTGGGGATCTGAACTCCAGCCCTCATGTTGTGTGGTTAGCGATTTATCTACTGAACCATCTTCCCAGTCTCCCCTGACCCCCAGACTTGGTCTCCTGTATCCCAGACTGATCACTATGTAGCTGAGGATGATCTTGAATTTGTGGTCCTCTTGCCTTCACCTCATAAATACTAGAATTATAGGACAGTATCACCATAGAATGCACAGTGACACAGTGTGCTCTTCAAGGACGCTTCCCTGCCCACTACCAAAGTATCCTCCAGGGAACGCTGTTTAGGTCCTTGTAATCCACTTCAATCCCTGGGGTCCTGGGCATTGTTCTCCTCACCATCCCTCAGCTTCTTAATGGCGTTGTCTATGTGGGTGAAGAATATAGCTGTTTCCTCTTCCAAATGGTCTCGAGCTGAGAATGGGACATGGGACAGCAGGACATTGGGGACAGGATCAGGTCAGGGGAGAGGGTGCTCCCATCCCTGCCAAGCTGTGCCTCACCAAGATACCAGGGCATGAGTAAGGCGTTCTCCTCCAGGAAAAAGGAGTGTAGGCTCTGTGAGAGCTCCGTGGGCGGCCCTGGGCTTCCCCACAGCACCTGCAGGTCATAGTCCAGCAGGGCGGGCAGCTCTGGCCAGCACTGGAGGCAGTTCTTCCCATCGGCCACTGGTAGGAGGCAGATCAGCAAGACAGGCAACATCTTCTGGAGTCTACCCCATGTATTCACAGTCTCACATGGAACACGGTTGCCCTGGGAACAGCAGAACAAAGGCAAATTCCATGGACTTGACGGGTCAGCAGACATAAACTCAGGCAGAGGCATGAGTCATGAGGGAGGGAGAGCAGAGACTGGAGAAGTGATGTTACGTCAGCGTCAACGTTACATCGACAGCAGTTGATGGAAACAGAGGTGGAGACCCACATTGGAGCCCTGGGCTGAGCTCCCAAAGTCCAGTTGAAGAGTGGGAGGAATGAGAGTATGAGCAAAGTGGTCAAGACCATGATGGGGACACCCATGGAAACAGTTTACCTGAGCTAATGGGAGCTCACCAACTCCAGCCAGACAGGAAGGAACCAGCATAGGTCCAAACTAGTCCCTCTGAATGTGGGTGACAGTTGTATGGCTGGGGCTGACTGCAGGGCCACTGGCAGTGGCACCAGGTTTATCCCTACTGCTTGTACTGGCTTTATGGAACCCATTCTTTCCCAGCCTAGATACGGTAGGGAGGACTTTGGACCTTCCTCCAAAGCAATGTGCCTTACTCTCTCTGAGGAGGGATGGGGGTTGGGTATGGGGGGTTATGGAGGAAAGGGGAGGAGGGGAGGAAGTGAGAACTGGGATTGGCATGTAAAATGAAAAAAATATTGTTTGTTTTCTTAAATAAATAAATAAAAACATCAACATATGAATGAAACCACTCGGCAGTGAAAAGTCTGAGCTGAGTTGGGGGAAGGAACACTGAGACATATTGTCAATTTGGGTAAAAACTTTATTAAAAGAGTTATTAATGGCATTGCCATGCAGACAAACGGCAGCATGGCCAGTCTCAGGCCCAGGAGGTAAAGTGTCTCAGAGGAAGGGGGACGTTTAACAGCACAAGGAGAGGGAATCCTGGGATACAAATCTATGACTATGGAAATGCAAGGGAAGTAAAGAGGAGGGCCGCATGTCGATGAGGTACAGGCACTATACCGGAAGCATTGTGTGCCTCCCATGTCTCCCACCCCTTGCACTGGTTTTCTGGCAACCCTGATCTGGCAACTTCCTTGGGCAAGTGAAGATGGCTCCTGTCATCTGGGGTCTGGACACTGAAGAGTGTGTTTATATACTCATGGGAAGGCTCTCGGAAGCGTCTTTGTCATCTGCTCTACAGCAGCTGTAAGAAAGAGGAGGCTGCAGGCAAGCGTCGCCTGATAGGCCTGTAGCCTCAAACATACCAGAAACCCTTTCTCACCGAGCTACAAGTAACACGCTTGAGAAAAACCCATGCTACGGAAACGAGAGGGCGATACCTAAGTGACCTAGAAGGTTATTAGCGCCGTAACCCAGTGCTTTTTGAGCATGCCTCCTACCCAACCCACTAGCCACTCACATCCTCACGAGTGCTTTCCTTTCTTAATCAATCGCCTCGAATTCTGTTTTATCACATGTTCCTGGTGTAGTCCTTGGCCCCAGGACACAAGAACGTGAACCTCAGTGGGTGGTTTCCAAACTGAGATCCATCCCTGCACACACCACGTGAGCCTTAAATTAGCCTCTGGCCTCAGAATGGGTCACTGGTGTTTGGCAGGGAGGCTTCTCTGACGATTCATGTGTTAATGTGGACATGAGGATGGTGTTTCCAACGTAAAGTCTGAGAGGCCCACTCAAAACCGAAACTCTCCAATTCTGATGTCATGCCTCTCATTCTGAGTGCTGTCTCCTAAGAGTTCTCTGCTGAAGTTCAAATCAGATTGACAACTGCCTCATCTTTCATGTTGGCCTTTGCGGCCCTCCTACTTGCCCTCTGTGTCAGCCTCACTGTGGAAACAAAACGCTCGACAAAAGCAACTTAAGGAAGGAAGGAGTGATGTTGGCTCGCAGTTGGCGAGGATACAGTCTCTCACGGTGAGGATGGCATGATGCCCAGAGCTTGAGGCAGCTTTCACACTGCATCCACATCCAGGAAGCAGAATGTGGGTGCGGGACTCTCCTTTTAAATCAATCCAGGACCCCAGTTCGTTGACTGGTGCTGCCTACATTCAGGGTGGGTCTTCCCACATCTGTGACCCTGATGTAGAAAGGCCCTCACAGACATGCTTGGAGCTCTGCTTCCACGGTAACTCCCTTCAAGCACAGATTCCCTCAAGGATGAGTCTTCAGTCGTTGAGCAACTGTTGGGAGCCCTGCGGCCTGGTTTTGGACCAATATAAGAGTACTTGTCCAGCGGGTCTCCAGATGAGGTAAAGCCCAGCGGGACTGTCTCACTCGGCAAGGAACAGTGGGCGTCAGGACAGTGCAGACAACTGCTGGAACCACCCGCCTGCATGTTCTATTCTCTGGTAATATTGAGGAGTATCTTGGTGGTTTTAGTGTCATTTTGTGAATCATACATCAGACAGATGTGATCACTCCTGAAAATCCCATTTTTTTCTCAATATTTTCCCCAAAAATCTTTGGGAGCTGAAGCCTCTCAGGCTCCTTGTCTGAGGATGCCGGCTGTCACTCCAGACCCGGGAGCTGTGCTAACTCAGTGCTGACAGATCAGAGGCAGATCACCCCTATTTCTGTAAATATGTTTTGAATGAGACTGTTGTTCTTGAAAATGCTTGCCTATGTCAATCACCTTTTAGTTTTGTAAAGACAGAGTGTACCTGGCTTGATTTGGACAAGCCAGCAAAATAACAAGTGTTGTTTTGATTTAAAGATGTTTTGATGTTAAAGTTGAGAAAAAAACATATTTAACATACTTGTTTTTGCCAGAGGCTAACATTGGAGGATGGGAAAAACATGTTTGTTAGCATGGGAAAACATTCTTGTATGTTTGGTGTATAAATAAAGATGGCTGGAGTTTTTCCAGGTCAGCCACTTGTGTGAGACTCGTCTGGTGGTCATACCATTCATTTCTTCTGCTGACACCCTTTTCCCATCTCAGGACCTGGACCCAGGTTGCAGAGGGACCACAGCAAGCAACAGTTGCTAGAACTTAGTGGTTTGCAACATTTATTTATTATTATCTCCTAGCGTCTAAAAGTTTAGAACTGGCTGATCTGGGCTCTCGGCCCAAAGGTTCTCACTGGGCTAAATTTACCAAGCCCTCTGGAAGACCCGAGATTCTGTCAGATAATCATCTTTTGACTCCATTAGCAAGGCTTCACTCATGATTGATCAGACTCATTAGATTGAAATGACTTTGGGTCTTTGTGCTTGGCAGCAGCATCGTGGTGGCGTACGTGTCATAGTGGAGAAGCAACCACCTCACCTCATGGTGGCCAGGAAGAAAAAGAGAAAGCAATAGGAGAAAGAGACTAGAGTCCATCATCCTCTTCAGTGGAAATTCATGGTAGCTCAACTTTCTCCTAGTAGGCCCCACTTCCCAAAGGTAGCAAGTGCCTTCCCAAACTGCATCCTGATGAAGAACTAAGGCTTTAACAGTGGGCCCTGACCCAACTGTGGCAGTAGTTGAAGGGGTTGTGGCTGTTGGACTGGAGAGCGGGTGGGATGCTCTCAGCATCCAGAGATGATTTCAGTTCCCTGCCCATGGCTCCCTCCACAGCCTTTTAGCGGCCTTGAACTCATTGCTTGGGTGAAGGCTTCACTCCAGCCCCTGGCATCCATATATCCAAAGAGTTTGGAATGTTCAGGTGGAGGCTCCATTCCAAGCTCCTCCTTCCCCAGAGATGCTCAAGACCACTCCCACAGGGATTTAAACTGCCCCCCCCCTCCAGAGAACAAACACATTGGTCTCCTCAACTTCCCCTGGGGCCACTCAGGAATGCTGTGCTCAGAATAAACCTGGATTTATTGATCTGGTTTGATTGGCTTATTACATTGGCGGCTGTAGGTTTCCATTAGCCAGAATTTAAACTTAAAACTCATCCCTTCATGAAGGGAGATGTTTCTTTAAAAACGCCTGCCTAAGACAATCTGCTTTAGTTAACTCAAAGTTACACTATTTTTAGATCTTAGCCATGTCTTTAGACTCCCTCATCTTTGTTATAGCATAGATCTTTTTTTTTTTATTTTTTTATTTTTTTTTTTTATTTTCGAGACAGGGTTTCTCCGTAGCTTTTTGGTTACTGTCCTGGAACTAGCTCTTGTAGACCAGGCTGGCCTCGAACTCACAGAGATCTGCCTGCCTCTGCCTCCCGAGTGCTGGGATTAAAGGTGTGCGCCACCACCGCCTGGCCTAGCATAGATCTTCATTCCTAGTAAAACCCATCATGCAGTGCGACCTCACACCTGAGTGTTGGCTGATGGTCCTGTCTGGATCAGTTACTTGTTCAAAGAATTCAAATTTTTTGAAAAAAAAATAATGCAAATTAGCAAGGGGTTTTCTGAGTAAAAGGAAGGTGTGGAGACTTTATGCAGCAAGGTAGGGGCAGGCCCTCAGGGAGGTTTGTGCAAAAGCCCGGGGTCCCTTAACGTGTTTCCCCTTACAAAATGTCATCAATTATCTTTTTACTAGCTGAAGTGAAAACTTTTAAAAATAAACTTTAGTTCCTCTATGGCTCCTGGAGGAGGAGGAGTGGTTGCCAGGGACAACAGGGTCTTTTACTCTGATCAGCTCATTCACAGGCTTTGGTTATACATTCATTATGTATGACTTTCCCCATAATGCATTTGATTTTAATCATACGCATGCCCAATCATGCGTAGGTGTAGGAGGTTAAGGAGGGGATCGTATCTGAAAGTTCATTCTGGGGACACAAGTTATTTTACTGCATGTGTATCCGAAAGTCAGTGCAGGCTGGCTCAGCTCACTGCCTCTAGTTCCAGATTTTGTTTCAGGACGTGTTTGAGCACAGAGGGGGAGTTGCAAGAAAGATATTAGGACAGAGTGAACTGGTTGCTTTGTTTGGAAAGGATTGTGCGTATAACAGAAGTGTAAGTGGGGGCCGTGGGTTGCTAAGGTATCACATAAAACTTGAAGAGGATTTTACAGTGTTTGTATCACGGGAGGTGGACGGGGGTCAAAATACAAACCTTGAATGTTAGCAATGTCCGCAGCTTCTCCACCATTGTGTTAGGAAATTATGCCTCCCACTGCCTTTTAGCATGCAACTAAGCTTGTTGCAGGCATAGCTGCAATGTAGTTATGATTCTAGACACACAGTTTCCATAGACTCGGAGAAATCCTGAGCAAGAATCCCCCACTTTAGAGGCGCGGACAGGAGAGCCGAACAGAGGAGTGAACATGTTTAAGGTACATGATACATATGCATGTCAATGCCTTAACAGAACCGACTGTACAAGGACTGCATGCTAACAAAAACAAAAGACTCCCCCACTGAAGACACCAGCTCCAAGTGCTGCAGTGTCCTCAGCCGATTTCTCTTCCCACAAGTCACTAAAGAATGTGTAGTTCCGGTTCCGCCCTCAGATCTGATTCACTGGAATAGCTCACAGAACTCCAGAAAG